CTACTTCTCTTATCTAAGATCAATGCCCTCATCTTGTCCTGATGTTATACTTCCAGTATAATTCAATCAGTTTTATTCCTTTACTGTACCTTTTTCTTCCCATGATATTTAAAGGGAACCGAGTTGAATGGCACTCTCACCCTTCAAGGCTCCAATTTTGGTGGCACATGAAAGGCCAACCACCCATGTACAATTGCTGCAAATTCTCAGGCACTTTCAAGCATAGGACCCTCCCAGCCTCTAAGCACGGGTGTCCTTGTGTGCTCTGTGTTCTCAGCTTTCTCTTTGGTTTCCACAACAAAATCGCTCACACTTAAAATTGGTGAATTTAGTTACTGATTTTTACCCTTGGATGCCTGAGGCATGAGGAAAAGGGTTGTATTACCCCCACACACTTTCTGCCATCTTGCTATCTCAACTTGCCCCTCTCCATCTTCTTACTTCTCATCCAGCCTCTTCATTCCGTATTGCTCTAGGAACACTCAACTCACCCCACTTCTAATGTCTTAGTGCCAGCCAACCAATTTCCTATTTCTCCACATGTTTGTTTGCTAAGTTTTGCCAGGGACTGTCTTGCCATCTCTTAAATCTAGAACTTCCATTTCATTTCTGGGCCAACACCTTAGTTCAAGTCTCTGCCTCCCATGCTTGGATGACTACAGTATGACAGTGAACTAAGTACTTGGGGCTTTGACCCTCTCTGCCTTCTCCAGTAAATCCTGCACAGACATGAAAGATGTGTCTTTCTAAAGCCATCACTCACATGAAAGATGTGTCTTTCTAAAGTCATCACTCACTATGTCAGTTCCAAGGTTGGGGGTCTTTAGCAAACCCCAGTTCTTATGTAATAATGTAACAATTGCTTATTCTGGCATTTAAAACTTTCTATATTCTACTCCCAACCTTATTTTCCAGCCTTATCTCCTAGTCCTCTGAACCAGGCAAACTGGTAGACCCACTCTCTCTTGTATCCACTTGCACAGTCCTGACTTCCAGCTTGGCTTGTGTTAGCCCCTGTGCTCTCTCTTACTCCATTCATTTTCAGACCTGGTCTCAAATATTACCTCCTCTTCCAGCTTTTCCTGGCTCTCTCAGGAAATCTCTATCCTTTGGACACATTATCACATTTCTTTTGATCTGTATTAGGGTGACAATGGTCTCTGTTTGCTTGGGACTAAGGGGTTTCCTGGGACATGAGATTTTCAGTGCTAAAACTGAACAGTCCTTGACAAATCAGGACAGTCGGTCACTCCATCCATAATATATGTGGTGAGTGTTCTTGGGAAGGAAGGGAAGGCAGTGACTTTTGTGGATACCTATTGTGGAAATCCAGATGTCAGGGCTGTCCACAAAAATCTCCAGGGAGGGAAAAGGAAGGTGAGGACAATTATTGACCCTAAAGATAGGCCAAGCGGGGCTGAGACCTTTAGATAAACACATAGCAAAAGGGATCCCATTTCTGCAGTTTCCTTCTATACACAAACACACACACATTAATTTATATATATATATATAAATTAATAAATAATTAAATTTGAAGGAATTAAGAAGAGCAAGGGTGAATACAAAGATACATTCCAAGTAAAGTGGTTTTATTTTAGCTTTTTAAAATTTTTACTTTTTAAAGATTTATTTATTTATTTATTTAGAGAGAGAGTGTGTAAATGAGCAGGGGCAGTGAGCAGAGCGAAAGGGAGAGAATCCTTAAGCAGACTCCCTGCTGAGCACAGAGTCTGATGAGGGGGCTTGATCCCAGGACCCTGAGAACTTGACCTAAGCTGAAATCAAGAGTCAGACATTCAACGGACTGAGCCACCCAGGTGCCCCCACAATGAGTTTTAATAGGGAACCAAGTGGGTGGGAAAAGTACAAATCTTAAAACCAAGAGGAGTATCTAGACAGGTAAACAACCTTTTCCTTTTGGTGTTACCTTGGAAACAGAGTAGGAGCTATTCAGTGCTAGAATTAAATACCACCCAGCAGTTAAGGCTTTCTGGAGATTTTCTGATGCTGAATAGAAATCCAAGGTGAGTTGGAATGATTTGCCAAAATGGCAGCAGGTTAGACAGAGAATTGTGTTAGATTTGTATGATGCACTTGCAGTTCAGATCTGTTATAGAAGAATAGTCAGATCTGGTAAGGAAAGAAAACTGTTATAAGTGTTTCTTCTGTTATAGAAGAAAAGATGAAATGAATGAATGAAGATATATTATATACAGATCAATGGTGAGTAAGGGAAGCCCGTATCTATTAAATGTAGATGCATATTAAAAGGGATGGAAGGACCAAGAGGTATCTAATCATTACGAGGCATAAGGGGTACATGAGACACCTGTAGATAGGAGTACTTGTCTCTGTACCTTTCCAACAGAGCGAATATGTGTCAGCAGCTTAGAGAACCTTCCAGGTATGGGCCTCCTGGCATAAACCTCAAGTACTTCCTCAACACACATAATCAGGGAAAGGTGATGGAGCAGCAGAGATAGGATGAATGAATATTGCATACTCCAGGAAACACATTTGTATAAAGATTTAATCCTCAACCACTGAAATTATGGTATAAAAGGATAGTTAATGACTGAAAAGTTAGTCACAATATATTGCAAGAAAAAAAGCAGGTTGTAAGGCCAGATGCAATATCATTCTATTTTTATCAAGTATATACTTTAGCACGTGTGTGTGCACACGTGTAGGTGTGTATGTATATCTAGAGAGATACACTTCTGCTCGATGTATTAAAGTTAACTTTAAATGTCATCCCATGAGTTCTTCTGAATTTAAGAATTGTATAAGACAACACAAATTACTAACATAAACAGGTGGCTTCGTTAAGCATCTGCCTTCGGCTTAGCTCATGATTCCGGGACCTTGGGATCAAGGCCTGAATTGGGCTCCCTGCTCGGGAGAGAGCCTGCTTCTCCCTTGACCTTTGCCTGCTGCTCCCCTTGTTTATGCTATCTCTCTCTGTCAAATAAATAAATAAAATCTAAAAAAAAATTAGAAATTTGAAGTCAGAAATATTTAAAATAATTTAAAAGTTTACTTCTTGACATTTAATATTTTCAGACCTTTTAATTGTGACTGGCTACAGAAATAAATCTATCATTAATGGGTGTTGTGATTTTTTTTTTTCTTTTTTAGATTTTATTTGAGAGAGAGAGAGAGAGTACAAGTAGGCTGAGCAGCAGGCAGACAGGGAGAAGCAGGCTCCCCGCTGAGCAGGGAGACTGATGCGGGGGGGGGGGGGTCGATCCCAGGACTCTGGGATCATGACCTGAGCTGAAGGCAGCTGCTTAACCAACTGAGCCACCCAGGCACCCTGTGATTTTTTTTTTTTAATGTAATAAACATAGTCTCCTTGTTTAATAAACATTTGTCCCCTTTATTATTCTGTTTCATGTAATGAACAGTGATTTTTTAAACAAGTATTATACTCAAACATTAATTTAAAAGCAGACATGTTTTATTGTTAAACACATATTCGTCTTACAAAATGAAATATCCTGAGTTGCCCTGGATGACCAAGGGCCGCAGTTGACTTTCTACTGATGTTTGGCCATGTCTTGTGGAACTGTGTGACTTCATTTCCATTGGTAACCATTTGTTGGTGTAGTTTCTTGGGAAGACCAAGAACCTTCTAGGACAAAAACGAAAGCAGCAACAACTGTTTTGGTACAAATGCATGGGGATGAGACCACAGCACAAAAGAGAACCGAGGGACCTGAAGAGAGAGCCTCCCATAGATTATGGAGTTGGCCAGATGCATGAGCCAATTCAGCAGCAGGCCCTGAAAGTCAGAGGGGGGAGGGAGCCCAGGAGTGTTGTTGTAGCTTGAACCTGAACCCTTCCAATCTAGTTCTCTCGGCACTGTACATTGTCCTCTGGAAAGAAAAAGGCTGAGTGTCTGTGCACTGTTAAAAGATAAGCTGAGGCATATTAAATTTTTAAGAGTTTATTTGCAAAAATTGATTTGAAGCTGGTCACATCTAATCTAGCTGAGGGGAAGGAGCTCTGGGTGTGGGGAAGGAGCTCTGGGTGTGGAGTTGTACAAAATGAAAGACGGTTATAAGCAGAAGGGATGGGGAACAAGGAGGTTGTATTAGGAACAAAAACTGTGTGGATTCTTGCAAGGTCACTTTCCTTGAGGAGGTCAAAGGGGTCTATCAGGCAGATTCCTTAACTAGTGTTGATCAGGTGACTCCTGACTGGTTTAAGATTCCATTGCTAGGGCAGTTGTAACTATAATTAAGTCTTGGTTTGGTGATGTGGGGCTTGACATAAATGACTCTGTTTGGGGCCTGTTGTCTTGTTTTTCACAAAAGGAACATGCTAGCTCAATGAATTCTCTTTCAGAGGTCCAAAGAGTCTTCTGTGTCACTTATTTGTTATCTAAAAACAAAATTTAACTGAAATACATTTGAAGATCAAAATGACTTTATTCAGTGATTCATGAAAAGGGGCAGCATACCATCTAGCAAATAAGAAGGAGCTCTGAAAAGCTGAACCAAATGTGAGACTATTATAGTCTAAAGGGGGCAGGAACAAGGAAAGGGCAGATTACATTATCTTTCTTTGGGGGATAGAAGATGTCTGTCAGGTGGATTACCTCACTAGTGCTGACCAAGAAATTCCAGATTTCCTGGTTTAAGATTACACTACTGGGAGAGGTTGAAATTGTCATTAGGTTAGATATGAAGTGCTGCTGGTTTACTGATATGACACTTAGCAAAACTGACTCCATTTTGGGTCTGTTTTCTCTGTCTCTGTCTCTTTCTCGATACCACCAAGCAGACTGTAGAGCATGGGGAAAATTGGTATTCTCATTTGGAAGAGATTGTAACCCTGAGGACTGAGACGATCCATGTGGCCAGGTGAAACACCAATCAGCTGATGTCTCATGAGGACCGAGGGCTTCCTGGAAAGGAGACTGAACCAGAGAGGCTGAGAGAGGCGAAGGGATGGATGGCAGCCTGGAAGATTCACTAGTGATGTCAGACACCATTTAGAATCCCAGATGTATTTTGGAGGTATTTCACTAGGAGCTGGAGTTCTGGCAAGAGAAGGTAGGTTCATTTAGCAATTGACATTCACATGTTAATGTCCATGTCAACTGTTTTTTTGCCTCAGACATGAAGCTTTAGGACATTATTGCTTATGATGCTGTTTCTTTTTTAATTAAATTTATTTGGGTGTTGCTTTCTTTTTTGACAATTCTGAGAACTTGAACAGATCTGATGCTGTAGAAGTTTCATTCATTCCACAACTATTCATTGAATAACCTCTCTGCACTTGGAAATACTAAAGACTTTGTCTCTGCTTTCAGGTAGGTGGTGACTAGGAAATGTCTGGTAAATCAAGGTTGCCTAGTAAGGTTCATTATGCCGGAATGAGTTACTCTTCTCTGCTTATAGGACGTCTACCTCTTCCCAAAGAGGGGAACATCTTTCATCTTTACAAACAGAAATTTATGTCACCTTCACAAAGTGAAATTTATGCCCTGCTTTCAGCATAAAGGTGGAGGGTAGAATTCTTTCACTGTTGTTTCTCAATTGTTCCCAGGCCCATCAAATCTTAAAGTCCAAGTGACATATTTTGGGGTGGCATATTCTCATTCCCTTCAATATAAGCGTGGGTTTCTTTCCTTTTTTTCTTTTTTCTTTTTTAGCTTTTAGTTTGTTACTTATTGCAGATACTATCGTTTCTCAGTTATTAGGTAACCAGTTCCTTAAGAAAAAGACCTCTTATTCACCTGCACAACCTCAGGGCAGCGAATGTTAGGGGAATCCGTTGTATCTCTCTAATCAGTCCATACTTGCTATGAGTGCGCAAATCATATACTCAACTTGCTAGAATCATCTTAGAATCAGAGTAACAAGCTTTATTACTTCCTGTATATGGTCTTTATGTCAACTGTTGTGGTTGTGCCAGGGTCGTCTTTCCTTCCATTCCTATTCTAGGATGCAGCCAAGATTAGTCAAGCAGTATTCACGAAATAGGCTACATTAATTTGAGGGGTGCACCCAATTTTTTTTACCGCATGGCTTCTTTGCACTTGAAAGTCCAGTAGAATTATGTTGCAAGGTCAAGTCCCCCACGCTCCCACCCCTGCCAAATTAAGTAAATTGCTTTCCCTCCCATTTTACTCATACCAGGGCTTTAATTTGCAAAGACCAGTTAGCTGGTTTCCATTTCTCGGCATAAAACCATTGTTAAAAATTCGAGACTCTGCCACGATTTGACTTTTATTTTAAAAACAACAGGGCGCCTGAGTGGCTCAGTGGGTTAAGCCTCTGCCTTGGCTCGGGTTGGGATCGAGCCCCACATCGGGCTGTCTGCTCAGCGGGGAGCCTGCTCCCCCCCTTCTCTGCCTGCCTCTCTGCCTGTGATCTCTCTGTCAAATAAATAAAATCTTAAAAACAACAACAACAACAACAACAAAACAACAAAATAAGACATCTAATTATACAGATGGACATGGTCTCATTCTTGTACATCTCGCTCTTTCCAAATATTTTCTCGTCAGAACTGTTTTGAAAGCTCTTTGCACAACACACGGATCCTTAGAAGACCACGGGCCGTGGATGCTTGCAGGCAGGTCCCAGTCTCACTCTCATTTCAAACGTGGGGCGGGAAATAACTGAGGCCTGCCAAAGGCCGCGGGAGGCCTCTTGCTCGGGAGCCCGGCCAGGGACCGTGCGCCGAGAGGCAGAAAGGCGTCCCCAGCTCTCCGCGGCGTCCCCTCTGCCCTCCCCGCGCGGGGCTGGCGTCGCAGGCCCCAATCCGGGTACCGCTCGCGAGTAGGCCGGCCCCTTCCGCCACCGCTGGGCGCCAGGTCTGACCATGCAGCTCCCCCGGGTGTTGCGGCTCTGGGGGCTCGGCGCCTCCGCCGGCCTGCTCGCCCGGGCCCGAGCCCCTGTCGCCCCTCGCGGCCACCGCCCCCCACCCCGCCTCCGCGCACCGCCCGCGCGCCTCCGGCCCCGCCCCGGTGTCCGCCTCCGCTTGGCGGCGGGCTTCCGGCAGCAGCACCTGGCCACCGCCGCCGCCGCCGCCGCCGGCCCAGACGCGCCGTCCGCTCGTGCCGCCGCCATGGAGCGCCCCGGAGCCGGTGAGCCCGGGCTGCCGAGCGGGCCGGGTAGGGCGGCCGAAGCAGGGGCCCTGGGCCTCCCCGCTCAGCGCTCGGCCTCGGGGAGGGCCGGGCCTCGCCTTCCCGCCGGCGTCTCCCCAGCGCCGGGAGCACGACCTCACGCCCGGCGCGCTCGGGGTGTCCTCTCCGTCTGTGCCGGCGGGACTCGGGGCCGCGCCGAGGAACCCCTCGCATTGCGGCGTGCTAGGGGCTGCCCGGAGCCCAGCGTTCCGGCGCGCGCGCTTTTGGTGTGGCGGGAGGCGAGGGATGCAGACCTGCCCCAAGTTTCACTTTTGTTTCCCCCTTTCTGATCTTGTGACCTTCACTTCTAGTTTCAAGGCCCCCCCACCATGGTGTTTGTGTGGTCAACGAAACCCAGAAAAATCTCGGTTTTCATGGTCTGCCCCAGACCTTAAAGATCTGAACCACCGCGCTGTTTCATTTAGGATTTTATTCTAGGTGTGGAAATGACCTCTTTTAAACTGGCGCCAAATCTGTAGGACGGCCCATAATTCATTTCCAGCTTAGGTCAGCATTACTGTGAACGGAGCTATGTGGGTAGAGCTAGTGAGGGGTTAGGCTTGGGGTGAAATGGACCAAAAAACCAATTAGGGAAAAGACGCTCATCTGCGAGACTTTTTGCAATATAAATTCATACAAAGAGAGCCTAAAAAATGTTGATATGTATTACACGATAGCCGCTAACGAATAGAAATATGTGTACAATCATTATGGGAACGAATGATTAAGACTTGTGGGTGGGTGGGGAGGGCGTAGGGAGTGGGTGGGGAATTATCGGGGAGAAAGGAGACCCACATCCTGGCTCTGTGCTTCGTGTGTGGCCTTGAGTTCAGGCTACTGGTAGCATTATCTGGGTCTTTTTCCCTATTCATACTTGGTTGGCAAACTTTAAGATGTTTTTGGAGTTTACTGCCTTCCTATGTCGCTTTTCACCCAGTATTAACTTACTTTGTCCATTTCTTTCTAGTAGTGGATTGTATTTTTTGTTCTGTTTTTACGAAGAGGAAACCAAAGCTGACTTGTTGATTACCACAGAACTCAACACTTAACCTAGATGTGAGATGCTACTGTTTTCAGTGGCTAAGCCCGCACTAGCATGGGTGGTAGTGACCCTTTCCATTGGTTCTTGGAGAATACACCTACCAGATATACCTACTAGAGTGAACAGAAGAGTCTTGCTTAAGTCACAATTGTTATCCAAATAGGAAGTTTGCTTTTTATGTGACAAAAGGCAAAACTAACTGTCCTTTTTTTTTTTTTTTTGGTCTGTTGGCCTGTCTTTAATAAAGTCATTTGCTGAAGTGCATATGTATTTGAATATGACTGTATACTTAATGTACATTTTTATAATGTTTTAAATGCATGCATTAATTCTTTTTATGAAAGTAATATTCTGTTTCAAATATTTGAATAGCAGAATGAGGAAAAATACAAATATATCGAGTTCAGCTACATCAGCATTCAGAAATAATTGATATCCTTTAGGCTTTGTCTATATAACTGTGATGACAGAAGATACGCAGTATTGTATTTGCTTTTTGAAAAGTGAGCATTTGTTATAAACTTTTTTTGGTTGCCACAGTCTTCATAGCCATTATTCGTAGGTGTCATCAGAGTGAGTATGCTTTATTTATTTCCCTGTTATTGGGTCTTTAAGTTGTTCCACTTTAAATAAAGCTGTGGTGAGTCTAGGTCAGCATATGTGATAGATACAGATATATTAGTAAGAGGAACATTTTCATAGCTCCTGACCTATTGCCAGTGTTTTTTTTTTGAAAGGATTCCCTCAGTTTATGCTTCATAAACTACATATGTTGAGAGGCAGTGGGGTGTGTTGCTCGAAAAAGAAGTTTCGACAGTAGAGTGACAGGATGCAAATTTCAAACCCAAACCCAAACCCAAGCTATAACCTTGGGCAAGTTACTTAATTGGCTAGTCTGTAAAATCAGTAAGTTAATAGTACCTCCCAGATAGCATGGTTGTATGGTTTAAATGAATCATTATCTATAAAGTGCTTCCAGCTCTGCCCAGTGTTACTACATGCTCAGGTGTTAGCTGTTGTTTTATTGGGAGTTGTGCAAAAGATAGAATTTTATTTTGACTACAGTTAGGCCACATTTTAAGTACTCAATATGACCATTTTATGGTTTAAATGCTTTATATAAGAGTCAGTTATTTTAAGGCAGTTTTTCAAAAGCAAAATACTTCCAGCTTCTATAGAAAGAAAGTGTAGTTACGATGGATGTCTTTAAGTTGTGTCTGTCACCTTTGCCCAAACATTGGAGCTTAGAGACCTGGAGGAAGGCTTCCAGATTTGAACTCTGTTGAGAAACGTTGCTCTGGAGAATGACCAGCAATTTTTTGAAAAGTTATTTTGAAGTGGCATTCTCTTTTTTTCTGAGTTAATAATTCATATCTATAAAAATTGTTTCTATTATTCTGTAGTTTCATGGAACAAAATTTGTATTTCAAGTTCTAAACTTGATTTTGACATAACATTGTATTCAAAAGTTTATATATGCTTTATTTTACAAGAGGGAGAATGATACTGAGCAAGTACTAGTACAATTCACTTTTAACTTTTTATGTCAAATGGAATAGTAGTACCTTATCTTCATCATCCTGTGAACATGAGGATCTGTGATGTGCTGAAGCTGCCATTTAAAACACCAGGAATTAGTTTTTCTTGGGATTAAGATAGCTGTACTGCAGTGTAACTTGAGTGATTATTAACCACTCTCAAATGTGTGCTTATTCAGTGCAAATGTATTGATCACCACCTGGGAGCTGAACGCTACTAGGCATTGAGGAACCAAATGAAGATAAGACGCGGCACTTAAGGAGCTTAGAATAGGGGACCATACTTATCAGTGGGGGTGTAATTATGAAAGGCCCACTTTCCCCTTGAGAAGTGTCCCAGATTGGGTCATAAGTTATATGGTCACTTTAACTTAGTGTCTGATGGAGAAGACTGACAAATGGACACCTGCAACATGTGTTTGTGCTGTGACTGGAGGAAGCACTGGGTCCTGGGAAGGAGATGGGATTACCTCACTTCGCCCTGAGCTGGGGATCAGGAAAGTTTTCCCTTGCAAGAAACATTCGATCTGAGTTTTTACATTTAAGTTGATTATTCTCAACTGTTAACATAATCTGTTGGTCTGGTGAAGAATCAAGGTCTGGAAGACATGAAAGGGGATCTTTGGGAGCAATAATTTTCAGACTTCCTTTGTGCATTAGACTCACCCTGAGAGGCTTCAAGAAAATACCAGTAGTCTCCCTGATCTCCAGAGATTCCAATTTGATTGACTTTAAGTGGGACCCAGACATTGGTAGTTTTAAAAAGCCCCAGATGGTTCAAAAGTGCAGCCAGGATTTAGAATTTTTCAGCTAGAACAACGATGTCATCTAGGAGAGGAGATAGGGAGTGGGGCCTGGAGAGTTCATGTGAATTGCCTGGGATCACAGTTGGTGAGGTGTTGCGCAGCACGCAACACTAATGTACCTGCCTCATTTCTGGCACCAAACCCTTTCTGCTACAACAGCCATCTTGCCTTGGAGCATTATCTTGATGCCACTGTTGTCACCAATGACCATTGCCCCTTCATTGATTCTGCTTTTGGCACAACCAGAGTGACCCACCTAGCACTTGTTCTCTAACTATGGGTTAATGGAGCTCAAGATAAACTAAAAGTATTTTAATAACTTTTTTTTTCATTTAAAAAATGACAAAATTTAATTCATCATGCCATTCAGGTCTCCCTTTTGCCTTCACAGAAGTCAGCCTCTCAGGCCATTCCATGTATTGCCAAGAGTCCAGTATGTTCCTACAGGAACTTTAGAGCTCCAATTGAAATGTCAGTGGTAATGGGCCAGTTTTGTATCACTGAGTTCTTTTTTTCCCTCCAGTTTTATTGAGATGCAATTGACAAATAAAATTGTATATGTTTAAATTATCAGTGTGCTGATTTTATATAAGTATATGTTGTGAGATGATTATCGCAGTTAATTAACATCCATCACCTCACAGTTACTTTTTTTTTTTTTTTTTTCGGTGAGAATGCTTAAGGTCTACTTTCTCAGCACGTTTCAGGTGTATAGTACAGTATTAATTACAGTAACCATGCTGTGCATTAAATCTTCAGCACTTAGTAATAAGTAATAAGTTCTTAGATTAAGAATATAATAGAGAAAAACAAGTTGGGTTTATTTTATTTTGTTCTGATTTTCATTCAGCTTTGTGCATATTTAACTGGCTAAATACTCTTTGTTGCTCCCTTTTCAAATGTAAGCTTCATAAAGGTGTAAGCTTCGAATGGTCATAAAGGTCAGTGTTGATTCTTTATGAATAACTACAAATGCCTGACAGTACAAGATACATATTGATGTATTAAAATTTTTGTTTAGGTGTAAACTGCATTTATATTTTTCAGTGCAAACATAAAAATAGAAACATTTACTTATTCTCACATATTTCAAATAGTTGTAATTCTGTGATTAGGCTTATAGTAAACTAGTATTTGTTGAACACTTATGTGCCAGGCACTCATACTTGATAAATAAATAGTATCATTATTAAGAATGTACTGTTACTTTTTTGGTTTGTTTTGGTATGGAACATGACTAATTGATATATAAATTTTTTGTTGTTTTTTTCTTGCTTTTATCTAGAAAATGTATGTGTGTGTGTGTGTGTGCGTGTGTGTGCGTGAGAATAGTTGAGATCATTCAAAAGGCAATAAAAATTTAGGTTTTTTGATATACATGTTAACTCTTACCTTTCATGATAGTTACTATGTTGTATGTTGTAAGCCATATTCTTAATGGAATGTGATTTTTAGGTATTATGTTTGAAAATAGAGGGTTACAACAGAAGGAATTTTATGACTTCATTAATATCTTTAATGGTAAATTGGTCTTAGTAAATACATAGAATAAAAATTATACAATTATCCCAAGATTTTGTTCTCTCCTAGTTTAGACAACAATTATGTTCTGTCAATAAAAGCATGGAAACTAATGGTACTGGGACGACCACCTACTGATACATTTAGTAATTAATTTTATCAGTTTAAACAGACACCCTTGTTCCCTTAACCTCCACCCAAGGTATGTGACTGTTCCACCTGTAACTAGAAAACAAAGGCCAAATTTGAAATATGGCTTTAATATTAGCAAACGTCCTTAGGAGGGCTGTCAGGGAAACTGTAAAATCTTTTGCTTTTTAATCATTGACTTTCTAGGAAAGCGTATTTAGAACCATGCATATTTAGAGCCATGAATTTCCAATATTAATAATGGAGAGAAGAAATTTAAAAGTCTTTATTGAAAAAATAAAGGTCAGAACTTGTACAAATGAAAACATATATGTGATATTGTTAAAAATGTAAAGGAGATTGACAAAACTTTGTTGATTTGTTTTTAAAAAGTATGTGGAAAAAATATAGTTTTAGAGTTAACAAAATATAGCTATAAAAATTCTTAGGGATCGTTGATTAACTCAATGTTCATCTAATTCCAAGTTGAATACTGTGTTTCAGAAAATTATTAAAGCTGTTTAACATAAAAGTGCATTATAAAAATATAGAATATGGTATAAATAATGTTTATATAGCTTTATAATATATTTGAATAGAAGTATCATTTCTCAACAGATGTTAATTTATATTGAATTCAGTTGACTTGTTTTAGTTTAGGATATAATTTTTAAAATTAAATAATGTATTTTTCTTTTTGATTAAGGAGGAATAAATTCCAGTGAGTATGAAAATGTATCAAGAGAAAAGGAAACGTCAGAAGAATTTGAAGCTAACGCTATGGATTCTCTGATAGACATGCCATTTGCCACTATAGACATCAAAGACGATTGTGGAAGTAAGTACTGAAAGTGAGACAGATGTGCCTATTATCCAGGTTACTTGTGAATAGAAAACAGGGAAAAACACCAATGTATTCTGCAAATGTTTACTGACTGTATCCTCTGTGCCACTTACTTTGCAGTCTTAGGAAGAACCTTGCTATGATTTAAAAAAAGTTTTATCTTGATTGGGTTCTATAACTGGAGGGGCCATAAGAAATTAGTTCAGTCTCCCCCAGTGTTGGGTGCTGTCTTACAAGGAACATCTAGTCCAGGTGGCAGAAGGGGCTGGGCTGGCTGGGCTTCCAGGTCCCACGCCTGCCTCCGTGGATCTAGACTCCATCTTTTTGGGGTCCTCATTTACTCTCAGTGTTTAGCTTGCATTTTGAACAATAAAGCCTGGCGGTCGTTTGAAAAAAAAAAAAATAGTTCTATCTCTTCATTTCTAAGAAAAAGAGGAGACTCAAGAAATTAATTAGGTAAATTTACGCGATTGCGTCAGACTCCTGGTTTTGGCTCAGGTCATGATCTCAGGGTTGTGGGATCAAGCCCCCCTTTGGGTCAGCTCTCAGGGTGGAGTCGGCTTGAGATTCTGTCTCTCCCTCTCCATCTGCCCCTCCCCCCCCTTTGCACGCATGTGCTCTCTCTCAAAAAAATCTATTTTTTTTTAAAGGAAAGAATTGCTTACAGAATCTGTGATTTCTGATTCATTAGTCCTTTGAACAGCTATGATCTCGGGAGAAAAAGGCTGTACATGATGCTATGGGCTCCCATGGGGAGAGGATGTATCAGAGAGGCATCTAGCCTGGATGTGGGGTGGTGGGTGTCCTAAAAGCCTTCCTGGAGGTTTGATAAGAGTAAATGCCTGGCAGATAAGTATGCACTCTCCAAGGTTCTTTCCTCTATATTAACTGTCCATATACTTAACTAATCCTCTGTATTTTCTATGGAATGATGAAAAAAGTACAGATTCTTTTATTTTGAGCACATGAATATATCTATCAAACACAATCACTTCTTTCTGATTTCATTACTTTCTCTAATTTCTAAAGAAAGAAGAATTTTACTACATGCCTATGATGGGCCTTTCCCATCAACCCTTCCCACCTCTGAGCCCCATTCCTATCTGAATCATTCTCATTGGAACGCTCTTAAGTTAGGCTGAAACAAGCGGTAAACTTGTTCACCGTGCCAGCCCTAGGTACTTGGAACTTGACATACCTGATGCAGAGCTTATCTATTTGAATAGACCGCTTCTAATTGGGACTGACAGCAGGCTACCCCAAGAATTCCAGGGAGCAAATACTGTTTCCGAAGCTGCTGTATTATAACTCCTCTGGTGAGGACAAACAATGGCTACTACAACCAGGAAGAAGGAAGTGGATGTGTTTGTGGTTCTGTACTCCTTTCCTGCTCTGAATGGTCTCGCTGCTGCTTCAGAGGATGGGCATTGGGAAGATTGGCCAACCATGTATACAAATAAGATCTTTTCTCTGTAGTATAGGTTATATTTATTACTAAAGAGATATTATCTGAGTAAGTCCGGCTCAGGTCAGTCTGCGCAAATCCATTTCTCGCTGTATGGTATACTACTTTTCCATAGTTCAGTCTTTTTTTTTTTTTTTTAAGATTTTATTTATTTATTTGAGAGAATGAGTGAGAGCGAGAGCGTGGGGGGGCAGTGACAGAGGGGGAAGCAGACTCCCTGCTGAGCAAAGATCCCAATGCAGGACCTGATCCTAGGATTCCAGGATCATGGCCTGAGCCAAAGACAGTCGCTTAACTAACTGAGCCACCCAGGTGCCCCAGTAGTTCAGTCTTTGTGGATTAGTCTAGACTCCAAACAACGATGTACAATATTATTTTTGTGGGAAGATAGATTTCAGATTCCAAGCTCCAACTTATAGTCAGTGCGGTATGAGAGAAACAGAAAACTTGTGTTCTGAGTTTTGGTTATTTAATTTTCTCGTGTAACCTTGGAAACTTAAACTCTATGAGTTGGGCTTTTCAACTGTGAACCTGTGGGTAAGTTCTTCCTGTTTCTCCTGTTTACCTCAGATGAGAGGAGGTAATGTGTGTAAGAGGGCAATTAAAATGTAAAACAATGCACAAATGCTATTTACAAAAGCTTTGAAATATATCTCTTAGTTATTTGGGGACAACTTGTTCTGGCTCATTTTTACAATAACATTTATTAAAACACGAGAAACAAATACTAAAATTTTTTGCCAACTAGAAACTGCTAACTAGTTTTTGTGAAATGAGATTTTTGTAGAAATGCACAGAAACTAGAAGTTTTTTTTTTTTTTTTAAAGGATTTTTATTGTTAAGGGTTTTATTTATTTATTTGACGGAGAGAGAGAGCACAAGTAGGCAGAGAGGCAGGCAGGGAGAGAGAGGTTCCCTGCTGAACAGAGAGCCCGACACGGGGCTCCATCCCAGGACCCTGAGATCATAACCTGAGCTGAAGGCAGAGGCTTAACCCATGGAGCCACCCAGGCACTCCAAAAGCTGGGAGTTTTGTTGTCAACCTTTAAACTTAAGAGAGATATAGTGTTTGTATCCAAAACACAGGAGAACTGGTTTGTGGCCTGAATGGACTTAATGTGGCTTTTTCTTACATTTAGTAACATGGAAATTTAATCAATTTACTGGACTGTGGTAGACAACAACCTTAAAATTCTCAAGTTGCTGGTTGTTGCCTTTGGTTCTTTCAGTTTCCTTTGGTGGGTGGAAATTGTGAGTTAACTGCCAAGAAATTCTTGCTGATAGAAATGCTGGCAGAGTGATGAGGAAAGTCGTGCTAACAAGAACGTCGTGGGAAGGAGAAGCCTTGCCAGTAAGAAAACTCCTCCCCAAATGCTTGGTTCCGAGTGTCTTAGTTGCCAACTGTGTTACCTTCAGTGTGGGTGCTGCATCATGATTAGGGGTGGTCTGGCTGGTTGAAATGGGTCTTTGCATTTTTTGTTAGTTTTGTTTTTGAGGAGAGACTATTTTATAGAATTATTTGTTAGAATATAAAATGTATTTGGGGTGCCTGGCTGGCTCATGCAGTAAAGCATCTGACTCTTAATCTTAGCTCAGGTTTTGATATCAAGGTTGGGAGTTGAAGCCCTGCATTGGACTCCATGCTGGGCATGGAGCCTCCTTAAAAAAAAAAAAAAAGAATATAAAATGTATTAGGATATTATGTTGAATTAAATATGTTATATTAGAATTATATATACTGGAATATAAATAGACATATTGGAAATAAAATATCCAAATTCGTGCATGAAAGGAAATCTCTTTGAAATGTTGAAGAAGCCATACAACCTGAGCCACATGTTCTGGCTCAATAGGTTGAACATGTTCTGGGGGACAGTGTAACGTTAATGAGTTGTTGACCTGGGCCTGGATGGGTCTGTTCTCTTCACAAGGTAGAAGGGGCATTGGTCAATTGGTTAGAAACCCAGCCAGTCATCCAGAGAAATGCTTAAATTTGCTGTTAGTCTTGCCTCTAAACATTGAATGAGAGTCTACAATGAAGAGTCATTCTCCTGCTGGTGGGAATAGCTTAGTGTGCTTCCCATGGAGAATAAATCTGTGGAGAACTTTAGTTTAATTGACTCAGTTCTCTCCAGAGAATCATAGTCTTGATAATGATCATGCCACGTTTAAATCAAGATAGAAAATAAAATATTTGAGTAATTTTTTTTTTAGTCATATGTGTGGAATTCAGGTCTTTTTAAAATTTTATTTATTTATTTGACAGACAGAGATCACAAGTAGGCAGAGAGACAGACAGAGAGAGAGGAAGGGAAGCAGGTTTCCTGCTGAGCAGAGAGCCCGATGTGGGGCTCGATCCCAGGACCCTGGGATCATGACCTGAGCTGAAAGCAGAGGCTTTAACCCACTGAGCCACCCAGGAGCCCCTGGAATTCAGGTCTTATATCAAAGTTATAATTCTTATTTTACCTCATATGGAAGTCTAACCTTGTAATTATTGGAGATTTTAAAAATGTGGAAGATTATTATTTTTTTACTTATTTATTAGCTAATACGATTAAGCTGTATTTTAAAAAATACTTTAACTCTTAAGTATTTTAAAATATCAACTGAAACCTACCTTTCCCTGAAAGATTTTTTTTTATACAAAAATGTATCAAATGAAGATTGAATATCAATATCTGGTATAATAAGTGATTATCCAGAGTCAGTTTCAACTTTTTTTTTTTTAAAGATTTATTTATTTGAGGGAGAGAGTGTACATGTATGTGTAGGGGGAGGGGCAGAGGGAAAGGGAGAGATCATCTCAAGCAGATTCCTGCTAAATGTGGTCCTTATTGCAGGACTCATACTCACAACCCTGAGATAATGACTTGAGGTTTGAAATCAAGAGTTGAATGCTTAACCAACTGAACCACCCCGGCGCCCCTGCTTTTTTTTTTTTTTTTTTTGTAAGTAATCTCTATACCCAACATGGGGCTTGAATCCATGACCCCCAAGATCAAGAGTTGCATGCTCTACCTACTGAGCCAGCCAGGTACCCCTCCTGAATCGATTTTAAAAAAGGATAAAGTGGGGGTGCCTGGCTGGCTCAGTTAGAAGAGCATGTGACTCTGATCTCAGGGTCATGGGTCTGATCCCTTTGTTGGGTGTAAAGATTACTAATAAAATAAAACAAACTTAAAGAAAGATAAATTAGGGCGCCTGGGTGGCTCAGTGGGTTAAGCCTCTGCCTTCGGCTCAGGTCATGATCTCAGGGTCCTGGGATCAAGCCCCGCATTGGGGTCCCTGCTCGGCAGGAACCCTGCTTCTCCCTACCCCACTCCACCTGCTTGTGTTCCCTCTCTCACTGTGTCTCTCTCTGCCAAATAAATAAAAGGTAAATTATATTCAATGTCATCTCTGATTGGGGAAGCATGGAGAACATAATCCAAATTTTTATGAAGGGGCTTAAGGCAAATATTTGTCTCAATACAAAGGTTTTATATCTTTTCCTTTAAACACATGTGTATACACACACGGGAAAACA